AGTCTGAACTATTTCTCTTTTGTAGAAGGATGTAATAGAAACAGACCTCTTGTGTGGGAAACAAACACTAGCAAGCAGGAAAGAAAATAGTCAAAAATAAAAGTGTTGAGCCCACACATACTATCCCAGGGTTTGAAAGAATCTACTCCTCTACTTGAGATTGAAGAATGGGATTTATTTGAGGCACTCCAGTGGCCGAAAGCAAACATTTCTGCAGAGTGAAAAGAACAGGAGTACTTGTGGCACCTGAGAGACTAACAAATTTATTAGAGCATAAGCTTTCGTGGACTACAACCCCAGAGTGTGTGTCATGGTTACCAGGTGAGCTGTGCCATAAAGCTCTTTTGGTCACTTGACTGCATCATCGTGTGCCTCACTCTGGGTGGAATCACATACTCCAACCATTCAGACAGGGTCTCTGGGCTGCAGCCCCTTGTTTATACAACTATATTATTCCAATAGGCCCGACTGTGTTGGGCACCTGTAACAGCAGCTGATTAAAGTGACTCAAAAACAGCATCATCAAAACTTAGTATTTAATTGCTCAAGGAAACACAGCATTTAGGAAAATGGGTTAACACAGAGTCCTATACACATTTCTTTACTAAGATTAACTTCTCTAGTCATAGCTCAGGTAAACCCATCTCTGGCTGGGAGAAACAAACTGTCCTCCTCACAGCATGCTGTCTTCTTGCAAGTCTGACAACAGTCACTGACTCACTTGGCAATCCCTCACTCCTTCCTGAGGCCAGCATCTTTAAAGGTTTATAATTCCATTTAATCCTACAGAGTCAGGTTTTGGAAGAGTAAACTATGCCAGCCTAGTGGGAGCCAAGCAGGTTGCTTCTTCCCATCAATGGCTCAGCCATTGCTATCTTAACTCCTTTGTAGCTGTTCATCCCAGGTATCTTATCTTTGCCATTGTTTGGTTTTCAATTTGCTTTCCCCTCCACTATTGACTGAACGCTGGCAGACAGGCAGTTAGCAGATAACCTGTGGGCAAAAGGACATTTATAAAAAAACAAAACAAAAACACATAACTCCTTCTTTCTCCACGCTTTGTTAGCATCCACAAAGAAGAGCATCTAGTTCTCATGGTAGTAAAGAAAAGCTACCAAACACAGTCCTGCTGCAGTGTCAGAACTTTCCGAGTCTTCAGACAACTCCAGTGCTTCAGCTAATGGCATCTCCAAGCAGCAGCCAATGAAGTTAAGATTCTTGTCCATTTCTTTTCATCTATTAAGAAAGCGATAGATCAGTGGGTCTTAACCTTTTTTTCATTTGCCGACCCCTAAAAAATTTCAAATGGAGGTGTGGACCCCTTTGGGAATCTATTGTCTGTTCATATAGTTGACTTATGATCAATCGGTTTTCAGTCGTAAGTTTTTTGCAGACCCCTTAGACCAAGTCCACGGACCAGAGGTTGAGAACTACTGCAATAGATGGGTAACAAAGAAATTAACATGGAAGGCAGTTTCACTACTCTGGAGAAAGCAGAACAGCAGCAGTCGTAGGCACTGGAGATCCACATTTTTCATAGCAGGGCTTCACTCCTTTTGAGTGAGCAGAAAGTGGGGGAATTTGATGGATTGTCTGCAGCAGTGAACACCCTGTAACTGATGAATCACAAGGGTATTTATGCATATTACTGCTCCAAGCTTTCAAGGGAGAATAGACTGTCATGGAAAACTACCAAAGAATGTTCAAGTAGATCCTACATCCATATCACCACAGGCTATAACCTAGCCAGGTCTCAATCTAAGCAGGGTGAAACTGGCTAATACTCAGATGAGAAACTCACCAGGGTAACTTAAAAACATACAGGAACAGATGTCAAAGCAATAGGTGTACATAAGTACATAAAGTATTGAATTGGATGGTGCAGTATTATGTTAGGTGGCAGTTTTCTGAAGCTATTCATTCAGATGTGGTGGAAACTCCCATCCTCCCACACAGGCTCAGTACTTTTCATCCTTCCAACGCACTTCTTCTGTGAAGCCCACAAACTGTGAGTCTATAAAAGCAACAACAATCTAAGGTAGAACCTGCAGGGTCTCCAGCGTGAGTGTTATGCTATGACAACTGTAAGTTCAGCAGGAGAAGAACTGATACTGTGCAAGATAGACAAGTAGATTGGTGGTACTTCCTGACCTTCTGTACACTGTTCACAGGTTCAGTAACTGGCTAAATAATAGCTTTATAATATCTAAGCAGTTTAGCAATTATATAGTTCCTTTCATCCAACTCATTTGACAGTTACATGGCAAAGTGGGTCACAGAACAAGAGCTGAAGCCTGCACAGTATCAAACTCCTTGGCATGTGGTAACCTAATAACTAGGTAAAGCCACACCAAAAAGCAGCTAGCCCTGGGGCTTCAGTTGAAGACCTTATTTTGACAGAAAGTCAAGTAGGCACCAGCTTCAGCCTCTCCAACAGCTGAGCTGAAATCACCATATACTACCCCCTACAGCTCAGAGAGCTGCATGTTTTATTAGTTTATGGATTAGCAAGAATAGCAAACTGGGCAGGGGAGGACTCCATAATTCAAGGTTTCAGCTTTAGAAAGCACCTTTGGGACAAAAACTGAGGGCAGAGGTCTGCATATACACAATAATATTTATGCACCCACATTTGCACACAGACTGGGGAATATGCACAGATGAGCTAGATACCTTGTAACTGCCTGTCTCTTTACCTGAAAAATGGCTAGACACAGGTGCAGGTGTCATATTTTACTGCAAAAAGTAATCATATTTCTCTTCCATCTATCCAAAGGTACATGATTACACACTTTGAAGTATGGGCAAAGGAAATCATGCAACAGATGAAGGTATCTGGAACCCCATTTCTGTAATAAGCAAATTTGACCTCCCCTTTTTATTAGTTTGACGACTGGCTTTCTAGGTGTATGACATTTATAATTACACAATTATCACATTAAATACATTCATAGTAATCAGGATCGTGTTTCTTGCTAACAGCCAGAAACCTTAGCTCTTAAAGACAAATGCGTTCTTCCAAAGAGGACAGAAACTTTAGAACGGTTTTAGTATTTAAAAACGTTGAAAGCAGAATACTCTTCCCCCACCCACCTTGAAATAAAGCTGAGGAAATTTAGCATTTACGCAGAGATTAGGAGCACTGGTCTGAGCAAAGCGTAAAGCAAACAGGCTGTGTCCACTGTCAAGTTTGGAGTCAAGGCTCCTCACAATGAACCAACCTCCATGATCTCTCAGAGCTGGGCCTCTGCAGTTGAAGTGCTTATCACTAAGCTTATCAGGAAGCCAAAGATGGGCTCACTTTAATTTTAGCCCAAAATGTTCTGCCTATAGGTTAAAGGTTAATTGCCTAAAGTAGGGCTGATCGTAACTTTTTTCATAGCTCAACCCACATCAGACAAAGGATGCCCAAGGCATGAGAAAAATACACAATTAGTATTGGAAAAGTTTAATGAGTTTATTTTTGAAAAGTTGTTTGACTGAAATAAGCTTGTGCATTAGTTACAAAATATATTAGAGATACTTCAGTGAAACCAGCAGAGTGTGCATTGTGTTCAAATGCAGATCAGAGCGTTTCTTCAATAATACTGACTAGAGTACTTGTTTGCACCAAAGCATTAGTGCACATTTGATGAGAAAAAGAATGTCTTCTAGTAAGGCAAACAAAGGCAATCCATTTTGTTTATTACCAGATTTAAATTATTCAATAGGCAGGACCACTTGCTACATAGCCAGCCCATAGAATGAGTTTTTCCATCTCACAAATATAGTTGCCTGCATATAATTACGTGCTGACAATTTTTAAAGAATTACTCCCCCTGCCCTGCAGGGGGACACTGAGCTAAAAAGAGGAATCTCATATGCAATATATTATACTCAGAGAATTCTGAGAGCAGCAACTTTGCAAGTACACCCATACATAAAGAATACATAGCAGGAATAAGGGAGAGACAAGAGAGAACATGGGAGGAGGGAGGGGGAAATCAAATAAGTATCTTAGATGTCTGTACACTAATGTAAGAATAGGGAATAAGCAGGACGAACTAGAAATGCTAGTTATTGAAAACAGCTACGACATAGTTGGCATCATAGACTTGGTGGGATAATACACTACTGGTATATTGGTATAGAAGGGTACAGGTTGCTCAGGAAAGACAGGCAGGGAAAAAACGGGAAGGGATGTTGCTTTGTGTATATATTAAATGTATACACTTGGAAATAGGAGACAGATTTGTTGAAGGATAAAAGGAATAAAAAACAAGGGTGATGTCATGGCAAGGATTTACTATAGACCACCTACTCAGAAAGAAGAGGTGGATAAGACTTTTTTTTAAAACTAACAAAATCATCCAAAACACAGGACTTGGTGGTGATGGGGGACTTCACTACCCAAACATCTGTTGGGAATATAACACAACAGGGCACAGATTATCCAATAAGTTCTTGGAATGTATTAGAGCTTTTTTTATTTCAGAAGGTAGAGAAAACGACTAGGGGAGAGGCTGTTCTAGATTTGATTTTGACAAATATGGAGGAACTGGTTGAGAATTTGAAAGTGGAAAGCAGCTTGGGTGCAAGTGATCACGAAATGGTAGAGTTTGTGATTCTAAAGAATGGTAGGAGGGAAAACAGTACAATAAAGATAATGGATTTTAAGAAGGCAGGCTTTAGCAAACTCAGGGAGTTGGTAGGTAAGATCCCATAGGAAGCAAGTCTAAATGGGGGACTGGACTACAAGATCTTTTGAGGTTCCTTTCAGTCCTACAATTCTATTATTCTAAGACTGTTTGACACAGGTAACAGAAATTTGATTTAAAAAATAGAAGGGGAAAGTAATCCAGCTTCTAAACATAAGATGATATATATACACACACACACACACACAAAATATTGCAAAAGCACCAAGAGTCACAGAGAAAGAACTATAGACAAAACCTAAATTCAGCATTTCCCTGAAAAAGTTAACAGTTGAAAACTAGGCTAATCATTGCAACTCCACATTTGTTTTAGATTGCTTTATTCCAGAAATTTTCATAAATCTGTGGCAGTTGTGATCCATAATCCATTCTCCTTTTAAGTATTTTTCAAGATCATTCTTCAACCGTCATAGCATAATGATATCTTAAAAGAGAAGAAAAACAGACCACTAGGGGAAAAGGTGAAGCAAATACACTATAAAGCTGTATTTTATCATGGAAATTGAACTCTCAAACAATGCCAACTCAAAAAGAGATTAAATAAAATAACGTTAACAACTGAGATTGTACATATCTGGATGGTAACTCAATCCAGCATTTAAGTTCTACGAATTTCTTTCCACCAGCTGAAATTACATTCCCACGTGTGATATAACAGACAATTCTGGAACTGCACTGTAGCAAAGATAATTTGAAAAAAAAAAATTAAGTAGTTGAGTGAGGTCTGCATAGATAAGTACGTAAGGTTAGTAAGACAGAATATATTTGGCTGATATTTAACATATCAGCTCAGAAAGTCTCCCATGTAAGCTTTGTGGTTAAATCAGCTTGGCATTGGGTTAGAATTCCATAGTGCAACCTTTAATAAGTACACAATAGATACAGTATCAGCAGCAGCTAAAACTGTTAATGTTACATATTTTTTTCTGCCAGTGTATCATGCACCAACTTTTTTATTTCCTATTAGGCTGCGCTATTTTACATTATCCAATTGAAATAATAAAAACTTATGTATACTACAGAGCTGCCACCATGCTGAATTTCATTCAAGTCAAAAGTAGACTAGATTGAGATTTTTAAAAAGCAGATAGTTGTGCCTGGGAATTGACGGTCTTTTGTAAAAAAGAATCTTAAGGATTTTGAAAGGGTGATGAAAATGGAACTCCTAGAGGTGTTAAATTGGCACTTCAAAGACCCGTACACACACACAAAACCACCTGTTATAACATGGTGCTCCGACAATGAAGTTTGTAACAGAGTGGGCCTTTGTGTGTTAACTGTCCTCCCTCCCTGTGGTTAGTCCTTGTTGGGCTGCTTAGAAGGGGACTGATACTTGGGCTGCCCTGTAGCAATATTTACACAACTAGAGGTGAGGCAAACCCCACTTGCCAGCTTCCCCATCTCAGAAAAATACTCCATGCTGACTGGGAGATATTCATACATTTATGCATGGCCTGGTTCCGTATTTTCTGTATCAGATTGTCTATATGCCTAACACAGGAAAAATAAGGCTTTTTTTGTGTTTTAAAAAAGTAATCTCTGTGTTTATATACAAATCTGAAGATATTGTAGAGTTGAAAAGAATTCTATACATTAAAATCCATTATTTTTCGATTAGCAGCAGAGAGTTTGGACTAACCAGCTTCTAATGCACAAGACTACAACATTAACACGGGATGCAGACAATCAGTCTAGAAAGCCAAGAAATAGGCACAGGAATCTCCAAGGTTTTTTTTTTTTATAAAGTAAATGTAGTGTTTGTGAAAGATGCCACTATAGAAACTAGAATGTGCTCGTTTATTATAAGAGCACATAGCAATGCAAGTTGACCAACACTGCCCTACTAGCGGGCTACCATCCTGTTCTTTTCTAGGTGGTGAGGGTGGCTAACCTACTATGTCCTGGAGCTCTCTAGTTCAACAAGCCACCATCACTTTTGGCACTATATGGACAATTGTTTACTGAGAACTAGTGATAGACCTCCACCACATTTCACACAGGCCACCCGAGTGCCATTTGACAGGAATGATTTTAGAACTCTGGTAAGTTTGGCACAAGTCAGGTGTGATCAAGAGGTAAAAGTTTCCATGATCCCTGAGCCACCTACTATATATCTTCTTCCTCTCTGTCGAACATATCTCACACCAATATGATCTATCACCACAAAAAGCATCCCTACCAATGCAGAACTTTAACCCATCCAGCACCACCTTAGTTATAGTGGAAGAGCGTCAGCCATGTTTTTACACAAGTGCAAACAAGGTGAACACAAACATTTTGGGAGGGGGGAAAAAGAATAAATAAGTTACAGGGAGGCCTAAAAGCCATAGTTTTTATCAGCATTTCCTCAGTGATCTCAGCACATTCAGCAGAAACATTTGTTTAGCCTTTTCTGGGGCTGTATTGCATGGGTTTTGTAGAAAACTTTTCAGAAGTCCAAGATTGATTCAACACCATCATGCGGGTTCCTGTTTGAATGTTCCCGAACATAATTCCCAGGGAGAAAAAAAGAGAGACAGACCGACAGACGTCTAGGGACTGAGTCCTAATCTTACTTCATATTCCAAAAGGAACACGGTAAATTCAAAGTGATGGAGTTTCCCTTGCTGCGCATTCCCTGGCTAAGCTATAAAGGCACTAAAATAGTCTGTACTTTTGTTTCCTTCCTCTATTCTTGCCATTTGGATTTAAGTCCTTTTAGAAATGGTCTATATTGCAAGGTGAATATCTCCTGATTTGTAGCATGAGAGCACCTTCCATAGTTGAGCTAGTTCACTTCCGCTACAGTATGTGCGTTGCATCCCCCTGGGCAGTGGTGTAGTCACACTGGAACACCCTTCTGGTACTATTAAGCAGCAGCTGTGGCAATGAAGTCAATCCACCTCATTCTGAGGGAAACCCTCATTCTGAACTGTGTCCCTTTGAGCAGCCCCACGACACCTCCCCCTTTGGGTCCAGTCTGTTCACCTACCCTGCCCGGCTCAGCCCCTGCTACGCTGCTGCTTCTCTCAGTGTTTCTGCTGCCTGGCAGCAGCTGGTCACAATGGGAAGTGCTTTGCATGCTGCTGCCACTTGGTGCCTGTCCCAGCACTGGCACCACTGACAGCCTCCTGGAGGCTTCATATGTATTTTAGTTAAAGGAGATGCTCAGCAGTGATGGATGGTGCAGGGCAGCTCAGATGTTCCCAGGGACAAGAGGCTGCCGTGTCTGGTCAAGAGCCCTGAGCAGCAGCAGCAGAGTTTTGGCCCTGGTGCTTCAAGCTTCTGGCTGAGATAGGTGAGAGGGAGATTGACAGACAAAGGGACAAACCAGCTGAGACTGAAGGGCAGATGGGCAGAGAGCAGGACAAACAGGGGGGAAGGTCTATGGGGTAGGAGCACAAGAGGTCAATCAGGAGGACAGAGGCACTTAGGCAGGTGCACAGGCACAGAAAGGATCCCACAGGACAGAGGGGCAGACAGGCATATACAAAGTGGTCAGTGGGGGCAGCTGCTATTTAGCCCTCAAGGAAGGACAGGGAGGGGGATGATCTCAGAGAACCAGCTGAAATTGGAGCCAGAAGCTGGAGGTGCCATTTTCCAGGAGCAAATAGGAGAAACTTCCCTGCGATTCTGGGTCCTGTTGCGTTAACTCCCCAGGGAGATGTGACCTGGACCAGCCTGAACTAGTTGTACCTCTCTCATCCTGCCTGTCCCCTGGCCCTTAGCCTCCTTATGCTAGATACTGCTAGCCTGAGCGCCAAGTAATCCTCCTGCTTTATCCTCTACCACCCCCACATGACCCCCACTCCTCCCAGCTGCTTCCCCATCCTCATCCCCTGCTCTCTTTTAGTGGCATTCCAATACTTTCATATTTAGGACATCTGGGGCATTTAGCTTCAATGCTCCACTTTCTCACAGACTTCTAGAAGTGGAATTTGACCCAACCTCCCCCAGTGTAGGAAGAGAGCTGCTTCAATAAATTCTTATTGAAGAATTTCACCTTTGATAACACAGCAATACTTCTCTCAGTTAGCTTAATACAGTAACAGAGAACAAGAAGAAATATTTAATACATGATCCACAGAGGAAAAAGCTTGTATACCAAAGACAGCAAATTCTATTCCGTTAAATCAGCTGTATTAACCTGCAGAATGGCATTGTTCAACCCAGATAACTGCTCTTATCATGAAGCTTTTCCCCTCTGGAAAATCCCTTCGTTCATGCTCTTATCCTTCCAATCTGTTGTGGAAGAACAGCAGTGCAGGGCTCCCTTAGTTAGGGCACAACAGACTATACAGCCCCATCAGTACTGCGAGGTTGAAAGCCCTCTTTCCGTACAATGTTCAAGTCTAAACGTGTTACAACCTCACAGCGCACCAGAAGAGTATCATCTTTTACATAGGTTCTTTGCTTCAAAGCTTGCAGGTGCATGAATGTCACATAACCAAAACCTTTTGGGTTGCGGTGGATTGCTGGTCTCTGGAAGGCTAGAAGCTCAGGTTTGGCTTCCATTACTTCTTCGTGATTCTGCCTTGCAAGTCCCTCTGATTGATCCAAAATAGAAAGTCGTATGGTGCCCTGAAATGGCCAAGGCAGATGACTGTCATAGTCTCCTTGCATAGTATGGACAAAGAGGGATATAAAGTTAGCACAGCGCTGAGAATTTGGTAACTGGATATGCAGGCGCAAACACAGTTTGTAGCCTGGTTTCCCAGTGTAGAAGCCAGGGCTGTGGATCACAACAGGTCTCTCTTCTTCTTGGGCTCTCAGATGTATGCTGAAGTTCTCAATCTTCCAGATGTAAATGCCGTTACATTGTTGTGCCTCCATTTCGGCAATTTTTTCCTCTAGATTTTGGATAGTGCGTTTGAGGTCTCCCACGTGAGCGCTCTGAGTCTCCATTTTAGCAATAAGCTCTCTGATCTGGTGATCTTGTCTTACCAGGCGACCTTCCAACTGCTGAATGGTTTCCTTGAAGTTCTCAACGTCTGGGTTGCAGTCATATGTGGCAGGTGGGACATGCGAGAAGAGAGATGGCTCAAAAGATAGGCCACTGAGGTAGGACATGGGAGTTGTGGTAGTAACACTAATACTCCGGAGAGTCTGAGCCATCATTCTCATGTGAACCTGAGTGAACTCTTGCATATGACGTGCCAACTCATTCCTCTGCATCTAGAATTTAAAGAGACATGGCATCATAAACTCTCGAGCAGCAAAAACATTTCCTGCAACTAAGCCACAAAATATTGGGCTTCAAAGATAAACTGCAGTGCATAATAGAAATGGCTTTAGCTAACACAAATCAGCTGGAACAAAAACTAAGACAAAACAAGTGATGTGACAAATTCAAGTCAAGTCCAACTGAGAGGACCTTGTTTTGGACCAGCCTTAAGATCAGATAGCTCAGAAAAATAACCAGTCCAGGTGCCTGTACAGACAAATAGCGTTTAAGTCAAAATGATTTGTTAAAATCATGATGTAAAAGGTAATAGAATTCCTCCACTACTTTGCATAAATTTAATACTGCCATAAATACAATCCTGTTAGCAATCAGCAATGTATTCCCTACATTGCACTGCAGTCGTGGCACTAGAGCCCTGAATCTGACAGTGTATTCAGGAAAGGCAAGGAGAGCAATCGGTTGAAGATGAGAGAAACGTACCGTTAAAAGGAAGTACTGTAATTAGAAAACTTGGAACTTCCCCCACAATTTGCACTACTTCACCAAAAATCATGAGTTTGAGGATTATGTGGATTTTAAGTAGTCGCCACTTGTTTTCCCTAAACTACAGGAGTTACATACCTGGCATTTAAAAACTTTCATACGGCAAAGTTACAGAAGACAATTGGTATTTAAGCTTAAAATATACTCTGAAATCAACACAGGTAAGAACAGCAAAATAAAACCACCCCAGAAAATTATTAGATTTAGGGTAGACTTTGCTAAAGCATCCGGGCACTTGTCTAATCAAGCCGTCGTTGCCTTCAACAGAAGCGGAGTTAGGTCAATGCTGACAACTTTTGAAAGTCGAACTGTAAAAATCAAACCCGGGAAATCTGTGACACAGACTGGATGAAAGGTACTGAGAAGTTCTTTGCATTGATGCGCGTAAAAGAAAGATTTACCTTTTCAGGACATCCAAAGGCACTGTATGTACATGGTACTGGGGCGGTAGGGCAGTCATTATCATAATGATTAGGCATCTAAAACCAAAATGAGAGTTAAGGTTAATTTTTCTTTAAGATGAATAGTTTACATTCTCCTCTTCAGATCAAAGTCTTCTTGTTTCAGAAAAGAAATTATGCCATTTGATCACAGAACATGATGAAAGAATTAGTGACTGTGTGTGTTAAGCGCACAGCAACATTCCAACTCTCAGGATCCAGCCTAAATATGTGGCTATACTTAAATACAACAGATTTCAACATTTTAATGGAATAATGAGCAACCACACACCACTAATTTGCACTTCACTAGACACTAAGTGTTAAAGGCCATTTAGTAAATTATTGCAAGGTAATGCAGCAACATTACAGGAAGTCACCCCAGTGTAATATTCCATGATAACTGTTATTCTCCATAAATTTGAGACTCCAGGAAAGGGGGATTAGTTATGTTGACCTAGAGGGTGACAGGACGTCTCCAATGACAGTCACCTCAGTGCACATTCTTATACACAATATGTGTACAGTTGACTTTAGAACTGATCAGAACCTTGAACAAACTAGCCTTTCAGGATCAGACATAAGTACAAGCAGTTGCTTGAAGTCCTATTTGATGCCACTTACGATCACCATAATAGCCAGGCACTTTGCGATGTACTCCATGGTTCCAATCCAGATTTCTGCATAACAGAGTTTGCTGTCAACAATCCATGTGTTTAAAGTTCACCTGAATTGCAACTGCAGACAGGAACACCATTTAGAGCAGTGGTTTTCGATCAGGGATCCCGGGGGTGGGGGGCGATCAGGTTTCAGGGGGTCTGCCAAGCATGGCTGGTGTTAAGACTCACTAGGGCCCAGGGAAGAAAGCTGAAGCCCCCGCGCACAGGACTGTGGCCCAGGACCCTGAGCTCCAGCATCTGGGGCTGAAGCCGAAGCCTGAGCAACTTAGCTTCGCGGTGCCCCTAGTGGTGTGGGACCTCAGGCAATTGCCCTGCTTTCTACCCCTTAATGCCAGCCAAGGCTTTTATATGGAGAAAAACAGTAGTTGTGGCACCGGTGGGCCGTGGAGTTTTTATAGCGTGCTGGGGGGGACCTCAGAAAGAAAAAGGTTGAGAACCCCAGATTTAGAGGAAGTTTGACATGTGATAAATCAGACACTTACATGGGTTACCATAAAATCTTAAATTGTTTGCAGCTAGATAGGTTAAATATTATTTAGGATGCACTCCAACCTGACAGACAGACATATGGCGAAAAGGTAGGCTCTTACCTGTTCTCTGATGAGCATTGTATTGCAATATTCACAAAACACATTTGCAAGTGGACAGTTCTGGTCATGAAGCTTCATTTTTTGAAAAGGTGAGAAAGAAAATGAGAACTATTAGTAACAATTAAATGATTATTAAAAGAGAAGGGAGCATCGATTTGCCTGTGTTCTAAATGTCTATGTAAAATTCTTGATCATTTATTTTTTAAGTCTCAAGCTTTGTATCTTGCTGGATTTAATTAGGTAATAGGAAATTACCCTCCTTTCTGATTCCTGAATGAGTCTTTTCACTTTCTGGAATTTTATTCTTGTCTCATCAGAAATTCATAGTGATAAGTCCTATTTCTGATTCTACAAAATTCTGATTCTAAAGTTGCCCAAGATATTGAGAAGTTTGGGTTTAATTAACTGTATTAAGGATGTAAACATTTTAAAGAATTTTCTTGTGTAACTGATATTAATGAATATATTAAGAAGTCTTAACATTTGACAAAAAGGGTAAAAAGGGTCACAAACATGATGTGCATTAATGTGGGAATTTTCAATGGCAGATTTTGAAGTGCTTTTCAGATAAACCTAATATACCCCTGAGACAGATTAGGTCTATATAGAGATAAGGAAATGAAAGCTCAAAACACAGAAGCCAGATGCTCAAGGTCACCCAGGAGTCAGAATCAGAGCTAAGAACAGAATCCAGAAGTTTTGCTCCAACTCTCTTGTTCCAAGGAAAGATTTAGACATTGGAGCACAGCTCTCCCTCTCTACACTCGTCCATGTTTCCAGCAGGTAACGTGTTTGTGTGCAGAGCAAGACAGCCTGCCAAACACCAGTATTTTTGTCCTATCCTGTTATCCTGGCCCCTCCCCCTTTTCTTTTTAAGGTCATTGTGGGATGCTAATGCTGACATCTCTCTTTGTAAGGTCAAAATTAAAGGTCCCCTCTTATACAAACTCTTCCACCTCCCCATGCACCGTAGGGTCTCCAAAAAAAGGTTTAGCCAAGCATGACCCCATCTTGACCACACACACACACACACACACAAAGGGTGGGGGGGGAAACTAGTCTTCAACTGTCCAAGAGAGGACAATCTGGAGGTCACAACCTCCTAATGAAAGGTTTCAGAGTAGCAGCCGTGTTAGTCTGTATCCGCAAAAAGAGTACAGGAGGACTTGTGGCACCTTAGAGACTAACAAATTTATTAGTAGCATAAGCTTTCGTGGACTACAGCCCACTTCTT